TGCCCTCTGCCATGGCTGCGGCTCGGTTCCTGCTGGGGCTGCGCTGCGGTTTGGTGCTTGCTCTGGAGGAAGTGCGAGGCAAAGCGGCTGCCGGCATCCGCTGAGCACCCGGGCACCCCCCGCTGCGCTACCCCTCCCGGAAAGGCTCCCCCATGCACCCATGGGTGGGCCAAGGGGTGGCGAGGAACCCACACCCGCCTCTTAATTCTCATGCAAGCATCTGATTTTGGGGTTTAAACTTGGCTTTTGGGACAATTTTGGTGCTGTTTTATGTGCCCCCCCCCATGTCAGGCTGTTGTGGTTGGGATGCAGCCATAGGGTGAGGTGGTCACAGCCACCAAATCTGACATCTCGGTGAGAAGGAGGTCAGTTTTGGAAGAGAAATGGAGTTCGGGGCAGAGATAAATCCCAACCAGCTCTCCCCATACCCCCAAGGGCCATGTTGCTGCCCACAGAGGGGATGTGTAGCATTTTCCCCTTTCCCCTTCTCATCCCGGCTGCCCCGAAAGTACGGCACCAGTCACTTTTCCCAAGGCAGGAGAAAGAGGAGGGAAGTAGCTGAAGGGATGCTCTGGGATATGGGAGAGGAAAAGGATGCTGGGGGTCAAGGGAGAATGGATTTGGGGGTTAAGGGACAAAGCATCCACCAGCTCTGGAGAGAAGAACAGAGTTTATTGACACTGGCTGCAGGTTTTAAATCCCCAAGACGTGGGGTAAGATGACGACCATGGCCCGAGCTGGGGACCGGGCTCTTCTCTTGACACTGCTCAGTTCTGGGCAATCACCTGCAAGGAGAAGAAGGGCAACGAATGAGCGGAGCAGGGATGGAGCCGGTGCAGGGGTGCAACGATGGTGCACGGGTGCGATAGCGCCTGGCCTCAGCTTTGCCTTACGCTCGAGATCCAGGAGATGTAGGCGGACACGCGGGTGAAGACGGTGGGTTTGCGCGCCACGTTGCAGCCCGAGGCGGAGACGAAGCTGGTGACGCCGTGGACCTGGTACTGCCCGTTGACCGCGCAGTGGAGGGGACCGCCCGAATCACCCTGCCGGACCCAGGAACCCATGAGAAGGGAGGAACCAGGATGTTGAGGAGGGGGGAAAAGGAGGATGCCAGGGCCATACCTGGCAGCCGGAGCGGACGCCATCACCGCCGGCGCAGATCATGGTGTTCTTGACAGTGGAGCCCCAGTAGCTGGAGCTGGAGCAGATCTGGTAGTCCACCACAGGCAGGTAGGCCTGCAGCAGGACGTTGGAGAGCTGCCCGTTGGCTGCATGCAAGGGAGCACCGGTTAACGCTGGCAAAGACCTCTGAGACACAGCAAACCCCCACTTTGCCAAAGCAGAGCCACCACCAAGCCCCTTGTCACAGAATCCCAGAATATCAGGAGTTGGAAGGGACCTCGCAAGCTCCCCCAGTCCAACCCCCCCAGAGCAGGATCACCAGAGCAGTCACACAGGAACACGGCCAGGGCTTTGGGTGTCTGCAGACTCCACAACCTCTCTGGGCAGCCTGGGCCATGCTCTGGACCCTCACACTGACAAACTTTGGCCTCATGTTCACATGAACCTCCTGTGCTCCAGCTTGGGACCATTGCCCTTTGTCCTGGCACTGGACATCCCAGAGCAGAGCCTGGCTCCTTCCTCCTGACACTGCCCTTTCCACATTGATCACATGGATGAGGGCAGCCCTGGGCTCCTCTGCTCCAAGCTCAAGAGCCCCAGCTCCCTCAGCCGCTCCTCAGCAGGAGATGCTCCACTCCCTCCATCACTTGGTGGCCCTGCTGGACTCTTTCAAGCAGTTCCTGTCCTTCTTGCACTGAGGGCCCAGAGCTCACACAAGATTGCAGCTGGGGTCTGATCAGGGCAGAGCAGAGGGGCAGGAGAACCTCTCTGCCCTACAACCATACCCTTTAATACACTCACATAAAATCCCCCCCAAAATATTGGAACAACACTACTCAATACTGGGCACCTCCATGCTCTGCATGATGCCTCTTGAGACCTCAAAGGGCTTAAAAATACCCCTTAGCCCCCACATTTCCCATGTTTTTTGGGTGATTCATGGCTAGCACTCACTGCGGGTCAGCCCCCAGCCCGTGATGTAGCAGGGGTAGTTGTTGGCCAGGATGGTCCCCTCCTGGGGCAGGGCCGCCAGCTGCACGTAGCTGTTGAGGGTGGCGGAGCTGGCCAGGCGCAGCAGGGCGATGTCATAACTGGCGAGAGGAGAGAGATGTTGCAGAGACCGCCCCCAAAATTCCCAGCATGGGTCCCCCGAAATCGTTCTCCCTGTCTGCATTACCCCGCGGCGACGTTGTTGCTGTTCCAGTAGGGGTGGATGATGATCCTGCTCACGCTGAAGATCTGCTCGCTGCCGTCATTGGCGTACAGGTTGTGCTCGCCGGCCACAACGCGGAAGTTCAGGTTACTGCCGGGAAGGCGTGAAAACACAGGATCGGACCCCAGATTATGGTTATTTCAAGAATGAGTCAATAGGGGAAGGATCAGCACAAGGAGACGCCCTCAGAGATGGTCCATGAAAGCCCTCAATGAAGGCAAAGACCCCAAAGGACCAAGCGAAAAAGCCCTCAATGAAAGCGAAGAGCCCAAAGGACCAAGCGAAGAGCCCAAAGGACCAAGCGAAGAGCCCAAAGGACCAAGCGAAGAGCCCAAAGGACCAAGCGAAGAGCCCAAAGGACCAAGCGAAGAGCCCAAAGGACCAGCAAGGACCTTGGAGGACCGCCAAAGCCCTCGAAGGAACAATCAAAGCCCTTGAAGGAGCAAGCAAAGACCTTAAAGGACGAAGTAAAGGCCTCAGAGGAGCAGCAAAGGCCTCAGAGGACCAAGCAAAGCCCTCAAAGGAGCAGCAAAGGCCTCAGAGGAGCAGCCAAAGCCTGCAAAGGACCAAGCAAAGGCCCCAGTGAAAGAGCAGCAAGAACCTTGAAGAACCAAGCAAAGACCTTAAAGGACCATTGCTTTCTGGGTTGGGGCAACCCAAATTTCTCCTCAGGAAGGTTTTTTTTGGTGGGAAAAGGGCTTTTTTCCACGTGTGGGAGGTGGGGTCCCCGCTCACCGATCCACGCAATGGGCTGCAGTCATCACCCAGTTCCTCTGGATGAGGGACCCTCCGCAGGTGTGGTGCCAGCTGCCCCCAGAGTAATACTGGAGCGAGATCTGGGGAGGGGGGATGCGAGACATGGGAGGTGTCACACCACAGGGTCCTGGAAGGGCAAAACCCCTCTGGGATTTACCATCGGACCCTGGGAGGGACCCACCTGGGACGGCCAAGCGTGAGAGCGCGCCTCAGTGCCACCGACCACGCGTTGCATCCCATCGAGGTCCTGCTCAGAGCAGCGCCCTGTGGCACAGAGTGGATTAATTGGTACTGGGGGGTCATTACCGTTAACGAAGGCGATGGTTTCCCACAGAGGACGCACCACAGAGGGCGAGGGCGGCGAGGAGCACGAGCTGCAGCATCATCCTGGACGTGGGCGACACTCGGGATGCGGCCGGGGCTGCGCCGCCGATGGTTTTAAAGGCGACAGAGAAGGAGGGGTGGGAGGAAAAGCAGCTGCCATGGCCCCCATAGCGGCCTTGGTCCCACTTCCAAAACACACACACGTCCCCCAGGGCTGCGGCTGAAAAGCCCTGGGTGTGCCCCAAGCGCCGCTTAGCCCAAATCTGCAGGGGACGATGCCCCGTGACGGCGTCTTCAGAGCATTTTGGGCATCGCTGTCATGAATTTCCCCTGGTCTCAAGCGCCAGCTGCAGCTCTCATATCACGTTCATCCATGGGACGACTCCAGGATCTGCATCCAATGCACAAACGGTGCCCACATCACCCCGGGATGGGGAAACTGAGACAAACACAGCGCAAGACCCCTCCAAAAAAAGACTCCCAAGCCAGGACTGGACACGAACTACAGAGATTATTTTGAGGTTAAATGAAACACCAAGGTGGTTTGGAATAAAAACCTGATTTATGGCCAAAATGGGTTTATTTTTCCCCCGATTTAAGAAGAAATTGAGGCCATTTGGGGGTGAACCTGCAGCAGTGAGGTTTGGGCTCCGTCAACGGAGCAGTCGCTGGAAAACAGCATCTGCAATATTGGTTAAAACAAGTAAAATTGGAAAGAAAAACCCCACCTGCTGCGTTCCTGCTCTTATCTCCGAGGAAAACATGAGATTTCACGGGTCAAACAGCCTCCAAATAATCACTTATTTGTTTTACCAGCACAGAAGGGAACACGGCGAAGGACGGCAGCGGTACAGGGACGCCTCAACCTCAATTTGAACCACCCCAAATTTGGCACTTCAGTGCAAAAGCAGCTCAAAACCCACTTCTGGGCTGCAAAAAGGGAATTGCCAGGACAAGAAGAAGGATGGAAATGAAATCAGATTTGCTCAGAGAAAGCTGGAGACGAGAGGTCTGTAAAATAAATCATCTCTTTATTTGAAGTTGTGTATCCAAAAACAGGTTCTCCCACTCCCACGAGGGGTTTTTTCCCCTATAAAATATCGCTATAAATGAAATACCAATGAAAGTGGCCCTGGGGATTGAGGAAAACCGGGAGAGCAAAGCTGTTTCCAACCCGGGCGCCATCGAGAGCTGAGAAAAACCTTCCCGTAGCTCAGCCAAGGAGAGTCGCACCAAGGAACCATCATCATCATCATCATCTAATACTAATAATAATAATAATAATAATAATAATAATAATGATTAAAAATCACCTAATTTAAGGCTGACAGAACAGCAGCTCCCATCCTGGCAGCAGCAATGGGAGATGCTCACAGCACCGCGGTGGGCAAGGGCCGGACCCTGGCACCCCCTGGCACCACTGGGGTGGGAGTGGAGGTTTCCTCGCCCAAACCCCAACCCACGTCCTCCTCGCTGCCAGGAGGTGCCCATGCGGCTGCCCCACGTTTGGCAACGCGCGGAGGGAGTTAAAAAGACTGTGGCTGGAGCTGGGGGAGGGAAGGACGAGCAACCTT